CCCGCCCCCCCCCCGCCCCCGCGCCGAATGAATGGCTCGGGCCAGGCCCCGCTACAAGATGGCGCGTCGCCGCCGCTGCCATTGTCAGCCGCCGCGCGCTCCCGGCCTCCTGCGCCCCGATGGTGTTTTGGGCCCCATTTCCATGATTTAGAAGGCCCGGGGCGGCGGGGGGGAGAGGGAGGAAGTAATCCCGGGCCGCGTGTCCCCCGTCGCCCTGCGAGCTCTGCGCTGGCGGCGGGGGGGGGGTGTGGGGGAGGAGTTGAGCCGAAAATCCCGCCCGGGTGGTGGCCGAGCCCTCGGACTTTTGAAGACACCCCCCCCGTATTTTTCCTTGCGAATTGTTTGTGATTCAGAAGGTGTTTAAACATGGCTTAAGTCCTTTGAATTACATAGTTAGCATACGGAAGTAGTATTAGCTGTATCTGCTGAATTCCTCTTTACGGAAGCTTTGTAGTTGGGATTGTGAGGTCCATTTACTGAAGAAAAACAGCGATGTGTGAATTTTCATGTCGGAAAAGCAAGTTGCTGGACACTGACAGCCACAGAATACTGAATTTACGTGTCAGTGCTGTAGACCTGTTCGTCTGTAGGTTTAGTTTGGGGGGGCTCTTTTGGGTGTGTTTTCGTTTTTACTCTCCATCTGATTGCACTGATCTCAATATTTGATGGCCAAGCAGCTGCTTAAGAGATTATTAACTAAGAAAACATGTACATTACTTTTATGATTAGCAAATAAATGGAAGTACTAGCTTTGTAAGAAGTTCCTTTCAACTCTAGATACCGTAAGGTCTTTAGAGAATTGTTATCAGTGAGAATTTTACATGAATTTTCTGTTTTCGAATTTGAAGCTTCAGTATTTTGGGGGGTTGAGGGGTTCACTATTTTAAAGTAAGGTTTTAGTTTGAATTCTGTTAAGATAGGGTCTATTCTAGATTCTTCCGGAAGGTATATATTGCAACAAGAAAGTGAATAGGCAGTTCCTTTTCTGCTTCCTTACTAATATTGGGTGTGTGGGTGGGGACAGAGTTGGTGCCACCAACATGGAAATGGTCTGAGAACCTCTACACAGCACAATTGGATGGTAGCTTTCGGCTTAATTTAACTTTCTAACAACTAGAACTGGCCAGAAATGGAGAGTGTCTGGAATGGTTGGTTAGAGACCGATCCTGTCAGACCCTGTTAGGGCTGTTGTCCGGGGTGGGATCTCTGGAGGCTGTGAGGCTGGGCTGCAAGGCCTCTCTCCGGGTGGGGACTGCTGGCTTTGCTTACGTGCTCCTGGATTCACTGACATGAGAAGTGCTACAAGTTTTTCTTAGAAGTGAGAATTTAGGAAAGCAAAGTTAAGTTTTGTGATTGTGCCTGTGACTTACTCCCATTTTTTTCTGCTGGGGGACCAGTGTTAGGGCTACATTTCATCTTCTGTTGGAATGATTCAAGAGTATGCATATAGAGGAAATTGTTCAACCATGCAGTTTTAACTCAGAATAGAGCCTTTCTTAAATGAACACGTATTGGACAAAAACTATTCCTCTGGTATGATACTAGTGTTTACCACGGGGCTGTATGGATATCATCACATAAGTACTCAGCCATTTAATTAATGTCTATTGAAGGACAGTAATGAAAATAAAGATTTCTCTTTGTTTAATATTTTGAGTTACTTCTGTTTTGGGGGGCAGTTGCAGTAAGTTTCCTCAGATTGAATTTTCATCTCAGAGCAGATTTAGAAGACTTTTAAAAGACTGCAGAATAATGTCCTTTTTTTTTTTTTTAAGATTTTATTTATTTGAGAGAGAGTATGAGTCGGGGAAGGGGCAGAGGGAGAGGGACAAGCAGACTCCCTGCTGAGTGGGGAGTCCAGCTCCAGGCCAGGACCCAGGACCCAAGCCAAAGTCAGACACAACTGACTGAGCCACTCAGGCGCCCCTGTACTGTCTTTTTTTTTAGAGTAAAACTTAAAAAAGTTCTTTTCAAAAATTTTTTTATGCCTAGTGACTTTGATTGCAAAGCTTGAATAACCTTGGTAGACTTAGAGTGACAGCTTGAGAAAGGGACTGATTGTATGAGGAGTTAACTTACTTTTCAAAGCTCTGTTCTTTTACTTTTTACTTTGCTAAAAGTTTCTGTCTTCCATTGGTTTGTTTGAAAAAGTTGTATTTCTACAGATTGCTTTGAGAAAGGTCTTCAGGATATCTTTAGACTACCTACCTACCATCAGTTGGCTTTTTAGCTAATACATTCTTTAATGACTAACATTGATTTTAGACAGTAAATGCTGTATTGGCATTTATTATAGTTTCTTCACTGGATTGTTTTTTTCTCTGCCCATGTTGGTTTCTCTGGCTCATGTTGGTCTCCAAATTGGATTAAATTCTTACTGTCTACAGACTTTGGCTTTTAAGAGCATTAGTGGATTGGTAACAGATATTCTCAATGTTATTATCTGGGCTTGACCATATGGCATGCTATATTATTTTGAAATCTCTGTTATCGCAAGTCTAGTAAGCCAATGAACAAAAAATCTTAGAATCTTTAACCCTGGGGATAATTCTGATTTCGGGTTTGCATTCATTGCTGAATGGTTAAGAGAAATTATGAAGTAAGATGGGTCACTTAAGTGTTTGGTTTAGTGAACATAGAACAAAGACGTAAAAAGCTTAAATTGACAGGTCAGAGACGCATTTCCCAAACACAGCGCGTAACGGTGTAACGGTGGAAGGAAGGGCTGGTCTAAACGTATGTTGGGGGGGGTGTGCGTACATTGGGTAATGCAACATCATGTTGACTATTCTGGTAAAAAAATGGAGCAGCACTTTTTAAAGCTATGTGTTTTGTTCCAGAACTCTTATTTAGGAAATATAGGCAATCTGTAGGCATTCCAATTGGTCAGAGGAGTGCCAAAAGCTTTTTTTTTTTTTTAAAGATTTTATTTATTTATTTGAGACAGAATGAGAGAGAGAGAGAGAGCGCACATGAGAGGGGGGAGGGTCCGAGGGAGAAGCAGACTCCCTCCCGAGCAGGGCACCCGACGAGGGACTCGATCCCGGGACTCCAGGATCATGACCTGAGCCGAAGGCAGTCGCCCAACCGACTGAGCCACACAGGCGCCCCGGTGCCAAAAGCTTTTTAACCCTTTTAGTCCTATGGTGGCAGTGCCTTGCATTAGCTGTCACAGTAATGGATGGGAAAAAATTCCTGCCGGCTTCCAGTGATAAAAAAGCTTCTTTTATAGAGCAGTGTTGCTTTCTTAAAGACTTAAGTAAGTATCCACTTACTTGACTTACTAACTTAAAGTTCTGGGGAAAGCCATTTCTACACACACGGATTTAAAAGACCAGGGGCAGCTGGCTGGATCATTCGGTAGAGCCTGCAACCCCTGATCTTGGGGCTTCATGAGTTTGAGCCCCACGTTTGGGGTAGAGATTACTTAAAAAGATAAAAATAAAAGAAGGTAAAGATCAAGTTAAGATTAGGGTAATTTTTAAGAGATTATTCAGTTGAACCTATATTGTCACTGATAAAAAGTTACGATTTAGTAATTAGGCACTCCAAGCTTAATAATGCATTGTACCAAGAGGGAAAAAGACTTGTATATTCTTTAGCCTGTCAGGACTGGGATTACCAGGGTATTGGTTGAACATATTGGTTACTTGTGGATAATTGTATATTTATGTATATCTGTCTCCTGACTCAGTCCTGTGGCAATTATAAAATATATTCCTGATAA